TGTTCCTACTCTACTCTGGTGTGTCTTTAAGGAAAGTCCCAGCAGAATAATGAAGGATGTGTATTTAGTGGAATCCCTGGAGGCATTCAAGGCCAGGCTGTATGTGGCTCTGGGCAGCCTGGTCTGCTGGTTGGTGACCCTGCACACAGCAGGAGGATTGAAACTAGATGATCATTGTGGTCCTTTTCAACCCAGGTCATTCTGTGATTCCTTGATTCTATGATATAGCTTTCAAGATATTTGCAATATTGTCAAGTGTAAAAGCAGTTCTCCACTTTTCTTTTTAAAAGTTGTTCAGTTTTCCAAGCCAAAAATTCAAGCCAGAACTGGGAATTTTAGCACTGTGATTAATAAGTGATTGTGTTAACTGAGAAATCATGCCTGTTTTACCTTGTCTCTAAGTGTAATATCACTGCCATAACAAGTTTCTGTTCATAGCACTAACCATTTCGTAACTGTCTCTTTACTGTTCACTTTCATCTTATCACTCAATGCTCACAGGCCCATTCTGGGACAACAAAACTGAACAAGCTTTATTTAGAGGCCGAGACAGCCGAGAAGAACGTCTCTATCTTGTCAAGTTATCCAAGGAAAATCCGGAACTACTGGATGCTGGAATAACAGGGTATTTCTTCTTCAGAGAAAAAGAAAAGGAGTTGGGAAAGGTTCCGCTGATGGGCTTCTTTGATTTCTTCAAGGTAGTAAGCAAATAATAGTCTCAGATTAAATTTGCTCTCAGGTTCTTACTGAGTAATACAACAAGGCTTTCTTTGGCTAATTGCATTCAGTAAACAAAACAATTGTGTTGCTCTGGGAACACTGGTCCTTGCAGAGTAGCTAGACCACCCCTAATCAAGGTCATTGCCACTAGCCTTTCTTCATGGAGTCCCTTCGATAGAGTTCTTCAAGATTATTTTTTAAATAAATTGAGAAATTTGTTTGCTCACCATCAGGTTTTTTACTTGGAGTAAATATGAAAACAATGGACACAACTTGTGTATAAAAAGTAAAGGGACAGAGTTCTGTAAAAAGTAATTACAATACATGGCAAGAGAGGTTCTGTTCCAGAGATCAGTGTATCACAAGTGCTGAAACAGCCAAGAGTATCTGGCAGAGCAGTGTATTCATGGTTGCTCTTAGAATACTGTTTTAATTTTTCTGTATAGTTTTAAGTGAGAATATATTTTTACTCTCTTGAAGTGTAGGTTAATATTAATTCACAGCTCTACCCCCTGTTCTGCCAAAGGACACTTAAATAGAACAGTACACATCAGGAAGTCCATGTGACACCAAGGTTCCTGACTATATCTCTTGGGCTGAAAACAAATCTTTTTATTGTTATGTTACCAGAACACCATGAAACTACACCTGCATTACACTAATGCAGGCTTTAAGATGAGAACTAGTAAACACAACTGTGTCTTGCCTAGAAGAGAAACTTTTGTATAGCCAGTGTTCCTATTCTGTTGCAGAATGTTTCACTTTTTGTTTCCCTCTCTCTCCACATTGCAGTACAAATACCAGGTGAATGTTGATGGGACTGTAGCAGCTTACAGGTTTCCATACCTCTTGCTGGGTGACAGCCTAGTACTGAAGCAAGATTCCCAATACTATGAACATTTTTATACTGTATTGAAACCATGGAAACATTATGTTCCAGTTAAGAGAAGCTTGGAGGACTTGCTAGAGAAAATAAAATGGGCTAAGGTAAGTTACATTACAAACTCAATAAATGAATGTGTTACAGTTTATCTTAGTTCTCTTTTTTTATCTTAGCACTCTTCTCCAGGTACATATTTTTGCATGAGCTCTCTGTTGAGATCCTGGAATAAAAGAAATAGATTTTGTTGTTACTGGGGGGAGGTGAAGGCAAGTAACTATCTCTATTCAGGGATATACTTGCAAATTAATTTTAGGTATGTGTAGAAGAGTGTTTGTGAGTCAGAGCCTTTGTATAATGACTAATGTGAGTAATTTTCAAAGAAACGCCCAGAATCCTAGTTACTACTTAATTAGTTCTATCACTTTTTTCAGGTTCTGACTAGAACAGAAGTTACTGCATGTTTGTTTGAATGTACAAAAGAATCACTGCTCTATATAATCACTGCTCAGAATAAAAGGTTGCCTATTTCTGTGTGACTGGCAGGTTGGCATTCTGTGTGACTGAAAATGCCATTTGTATTTTAAGCTTAACAATTAGGTTAAAAACACGGAAAAAAAATTCTTTTCTGAAAGTACTTCATAAAGAATCAGAAGAGAATACTGTGAGCTTTCAAATGCACACCTAAAAAACTTGAGAACAAGTACATAAGTTGAAATGCATACGTGCATCACTTTTAAATGTAAGTCAAACAGACATTTCTAAAAGGAAAACTTTAAATTGCACTGCATAGAAGAGGCTGCTTGTCTTCTGTGTACCTAATACACATGGGAAATGTCGGAGCTGCTTTTGAAGAGGCTTGTGGCTTTAGCAAAACAGTGGAGCAACAGTCAGCTTTGTTTTCGAAACTGTTCAGTTGCCCATGAAAGGTGTCACCAATAGCCCTGAGCTACCAACAGGAGCCATAAAAGCAATCCAGGATTAAAAAAAAAAAAAATTTAAACAGTATCCCTTTGCACTATTTGTACTGCAATTGTAAAGAATCAGGTTTGAATAGTCCCTTTGATAAAATTACTTATGCCAGCAAGACTTCAAGTAACTGATTGTTCTGGTATGTGTTGCTGTTTCTTCTCAATTTTCTAGGAAAATGATGAAGAAGCACAAAAAATTGCTAAAGAAGGACAGTCAGTGGCAAGAGAATTACTTCAGCCTCACAGACTTTACTGCTACTACTACAAAGTGCTCCAGGTTAGTACAACAGATTGTTTTACTACCTTTCCTCAGCTGCTACCACTACTGATGCTACGCATTTCATATTCAGTCCTTACCTCAAGAGCAGGCATTGTTTATATTATTCACAGAGATCGGTGTAAAGAACTTTGCTAAAGCCTGTTATTAAAGAGGCAAGCTATCATAATAGTTGTTTTGCACAATGGGAGATTTATTTAATTTTTTTGTCCCCATCCTCCCATCAGATCTGTTTTCAGCATCACTTGGTATATGGTTTCTAATGGAGGTAGGACATAATCTGCACACAGCTTTCCTTCTCGTTTTTCACTTGTATTTGTCCCCTCACTCGCTTCTCTGCTGTATTACATAACAGTGAATACACGGAAAAGAAATTCTGGAAATACAGCTTGTGGAGTGGTGAGGTGTGAACGTAGAGTTACTGGTTCCCTAGCAGATGCAAATCTTCAGTGAAACTTAAGTTTCTGTTCTTTGGAAGTACTAATTGCTTTTTCCTCCTGTGCTGTACAGAGTTAGAGCTCAGTTTCAGTGGTCACAGGTTGACACAACGTTTGGCATTGTTCAGTGTTATCTGCATGAAGTGGTTAGAGACACAAATAATGACGATATTCAAATTGACATTAATCATAGGATATGGGGAAACATTAAAAGGTTTTCAGAGGCAATGTAGCCTATTAGTAGGTGTGTTAAAAAGACACCTTGTAAACAGATTGTAAACAGTGACATAGGGACTGTGGATTAAGGCAAGCTTTTCAGTGGAAGGGAGGAGAAAAATTCTGTCTCATGAATTATACCTTGGTGCTTTCAGCATTCTTAAATGTTGTTTACATATTTCAGAAATATGCCGAACGCCAAGCCAGCGAACCTGAAATACGGGATGGAATGGAACTTGTACCTCAGCCTGATGACAGAGACTCAGTATGCAGCTGCCACAGGAAAAAGCCTTTAAGGGAAGATCTATAACTGTACCGGATGGAGAAAATCACCCACTTACAATGCAAGAATTTAAATAGGATTTAAGCTGTGAAATCTAAGACACTTACGCACTAGCAGACAGTCTTAGTTATGTATTCTTATTGTATTTACATATCCTTTTTCACACTGACTCTGGTCTGCAGCATTGGTTCCCACAGTTCTGTCTCCATGACCACCACCAGGCAGATACTGAGCCTGTAATGGGGAGCATTCAGGGGACTTGGTTTATGCATTGCATCATCACGAAAGAAGAGTGGAGTGCTGCTCATGATCCAGATGGGACCCAGATACCAAAGTTTTATGAGGAACCAGTCATCCAAAAGAGATCTCCCATGAGTCAGGACAAGTTAATCTAAAGGAGCATTTGCAACATTCTAAAGCAGTGTTATGATTTCTTCATAAAGTTTACCTCAGTTTTAGATTATTTCTTGTATACAAAACAATTTTCTAACTAGACAAAGAAAAGTAATATTTGAGATTTACAGATATCAAATCTGGTGTTGCTTTGAGATCATTTTGTGGTATGTGATGTAATAGAATAGAGAACACGATTTAATCTTTAACAGTTTCACTGGAAAACTGAGAGGAGGGGGAAAGATCAGAATAGTATTTTTGTAAGCACAGAATCATGGAATCAAAGGAGTTGGAAGGGACCTCTGGAGATCATCTAGTTCAACACCTCCCTACTAAACCAGGTCCTAGAGTTGACTGCACACAGTTGATCTGAATCACCAAAATTAAATCTGCTTTAGACTGTGTAGCTATCAAAACCATCACAGCTGTACTCTGAGTGCCAGCACACCACTCTGAAGTCCTTTTCCATGCTACTGACCATGTGTCTGAATATAGGTACAGACCCATAGAAGGACTTAGCAACTTCAGGGACAGGTGAAATATTAGTACAGTTACAGTCTACGCTTTTCTAAGCTATTTGAGTATCCATACATCTGAAATTTGTTAGTAAAGTTTTAGACTACTTTTAGGTTTTACTTTGCTGTAGGGCTAAAGATGTCGCTGTGTTTTTCACTTGGTTACATGAAATTTTCCTGTGCCTAAGTCCTCAAATGGAGCTTATCCATTTTTCTGAATTTAGATAAAACCTACCTAATCTAATACTGAGAGCACTGAATTCAGTGGACAGCAGATAAGGTACCGTTGTTTTGGTAGAAAAACCTATGCTGCATTTTCTATGTAACAGTCAAGCGGTTAGAGGCCATACTGAGCAGTGGGGAAGATAACTTTGTTCTCCTTGATTTGATTCGAAGATGAATTTTCAAAGTGCCTTAGGTCCAGGCTGCAGATGAGTTCTTCAAGTCTTCCACTAAAGTTGTGAAGCCTCAAAGCTAATGATTGAAAATTCATAGGGCCTGAAGGAGCTGGCAATACTGCAGTGGTAAAATCCCACCTTCAGGTGGGATAAAGGAAAGATCCTTGCTGCTCCCAGTGGCTCTGCTGATATTTACGCAAGAAACTGTCTATTTCAAAATGTATGTAAACAGTCTTGGGAGGAGAGACCTATGCCAAACCTTCCCACTCCTGCCATGGAGTTCACTGACCAACAAGTAACATCTGGCTTCCAGACTCAAAGTCAGCTTGTAGATTTCTAGTAAAAATCCATTCAGAGTTGGTACTTCAATTAAATTCAGATTACTTTTGAAATATGGAGCTGTGAAAAGCAGCTGTGGAAAGCAGAGATCAAATACATATGAAATAAACCAGGAGTTCAGCTGGACTGAAATCATCCAAGCAAGGTAAGTGCTGAAAGCCACCTGCATCATCAAGCCCAATACCTTTCACCTCATTTGTAAGTTTTCTCCCAGGAGGAAAACACAAAGATATTTGGTGTTTGCACAGTGACAAAAATGCAGTAAGAAAAAGAAAACACAGATTTTCAGGTTGCCTCAGCTTTCTAACTCTGTGGCATCTGTGTTCTTCCTACTCAGCTACACTTATGTAACTCCTTACCTGGATACCGAATTCTCCTTGTGCAAAAAGGAGTGGAAACATGATTGTGGACTTATCTAATTGCTTAGATGGCCAGAGTTCAGTGCTGTATGCTTCATACGGGTTTCATTCTTGCATATGACAACACTGCAAGTTGCGCTCATAAAATACATGACAAAAAATCTGTACTATGAGATTTTCTGTGTGCTAAATGTGGAAAGACTCTCAGGTTTCTAAAGAAACTGTTCCTTGGTTATTTATTGCACTATTCTGGTTAAGAAAAAAATTTGGAACATCTTGTTCTACCCATCAACATATTGTTCTAGTTCTAATACCCATATAAATAGTGGTTGTATTTTTATTTGGCATGGCAATCAGTTCTAGGACTTCATCCTATAAATATATGCTCAGCTTATCTGACAGAAAATTTCTGCATCAACATTCAGAAACACAGTTCCATTGCTAAGGTGACACTCAAAACTGGTGTGTGCTTCTCTTCTCTTTTTACAGTCATTTTTATTGTACTGTATGATCTGAGATGATCCATTATCTGCATTTTTTATTCCTCACAATTTATGAAGTATTGTGCTCAGGAAAGTCAATTATGCATACCAGACAGCTGAAGCAAGAAAAATTTCCCCTTGCACACATATTTCAAAGCAAAAATCCCCAGATGATCTGTTTATATTCTAAAAAACATGAGGGAATGGAAGGAGTCATGATACATATGTTAGGGTTCTTTGCAAATACCTGTATAGGAAAACTTGCCTGGCTTGAAACGTGAGTATTTCAGACTGGAAGAAGAAGCAGATGAAACCTACATGGTCATGGATATTTTTAAGAAAAGTGAATATTTCATCCCTCTTTTTTTTTTCTCTCACAGACAGGGAAAAAAAAATCTTCGAAGTTCTCCATCAAAAAGAACTCCCTTCAAAGCTGAGACAAGTTTTTGACAGAATGACTTGACGATGTTTTATAGCTTGCAGACAAGCAATACCCTAACAAATATAAAAACATTCATCTTGTCAAAATTAAAAAACAGTAGGACATGATAGGGTAGAACTGTCATTAAATGTGCTCTGTCATTTGAGAAAATCTGGTTCAATTTATAACTACTGATCTTCCAAAGATAAAGGAAGGTATGGCCTCTCTTTTCACTGGTGGTATTGTATGCAATTTCAATTGTAATGATGAGCAATCACAACAATTGCCCCTCCAGGCCAGAAAGATGTCAGATCTATTTTAGTTTGATGACAGGATTATATTTACTGGTGTTACAGGAATTGCTAAACATTCAGTAAAACCTGTTCATCTAAGTAAAGTGTAACACAGATGCTGTATGGTATTTTAAGCTGCATATATACATTAGATTTTCTGTTATTCTCTAATAGTTCTTGAACAACAATGAGTAAATATCTGTTACACCTAACAGTAGCTTCATCCAGTGAATACTCCAGAAAATTCATCCTTTTATGCTGTTCTAATATATCTAAACACCTACATTTGGAAATACCCAACACCAATTTCATCTTGAAATGAGAACCAGTAAATCACGATCTGTTGACCATAGCAGAAATATAAATTCAGCACATTTTTAGACTGTTTTTTAAGATTTCCCTCGAGATAACTAATATATTAGTTTCGTGACAGTATTGTTCCAGATCCGCCTTGCAGATTCATAATTAAAAAGCCCTATGATCAAAGTTTGCCTGATGGAATGTTAGATTCAAGCATCCTTCCCGGGAAGCTGACGCCCAACTTTCATTACATTAGAAAGTAAATTATTTAGTTAGGGAGGAGAGCTGATAGGGAAAACATACATCACCTGTTTGAGCACGTTTGAGAAGCTTGCAAAGAAATGATAATAACAAAAAGAAGCATTACATAAACCTAGGATATTATCAGCTCTTTGCAGCTTCAGGTTTTCAAAACTGTTCTGAAAGGGCAGTGATGGAGTACAAGACATTGTATGAATACATTTTAGTTCACCAGATTTAAACACTAGACAATGTCTGTGGATATTTTTTAGCATTTTAACAAGGTTTGTGTTTCAAGTGGTTGATAATGTAAGAAAAACTGTACTGTAGATAATTATGGCACTCATTTTGTATTTTGCTGTCAGAATACGGGTAAAGGAATTATTTGCGTATCTGTTTGAATCATAGAATCATAGAATGGCCTGGGTTGAAAAGGACCCCAGTGATCATTGAGTTTCAATCCCCCTGCTATGTGCAGGGTTGCCAGACCAGGCTGCCCAGAGCCACATCCAGCCTGGTCTTGGATGTCTCCAGGGATGGGGCATCCACAGCCTCCTTGGGCAACCTGTTCCAGTGTGTCACCACCCTCTGTGAGACGAACTTCCTCCTAATATCTAACCTAAACCTCTGCTGTCTCAGTTTAAAACCATTCCCCCTTGTCCTATCACTATCCACCCACGTAAACAGCTGTTCCCCCTCCT